ACATGTGTAGGTATTGCAAATAGACCAATTGCCTGCGTAGTTATTTGCTTGCCTAACCGGGACAACATTGACTGGTTTTCCTATCTTAAAGAAAAGCACTAAGCGAAAACTGAATTTCCTGCACACGTAAGTATTGTACGGTGGCGAAGACATACTGAACATAAATTAGATAAGATTCTTGTTCTCATTTCTTCTCGTAAGCCGATACCAGTTGTGGAATAAGATAGTCTGAGTGAGTGAGTGAGTGAGTGAGTTAACGAACTATTGGATGGGTGGAGGAGAATGTGAGTAGATGACTAACTAGCTGACTCACTCACTGAATCGGTGGGCGGTGTACATTTTGAAAGCATGAGCAAATAAATGAACCAATTACACTTCACAAGCTGAGCGATGAGACCAGGTCGTCAAATCTACTGTTTTTCACATTTAAGGCGCACTACGCGTTCGTGAATGGATCGAAATCCGGCCGAATCAGTCAATCTTTTCACAATACGTACATGTCTGTACATTTTCCATCAAAACCATACAATTTTGAAAATCGCCATCACAGTGCACTTTTAAAATTCCCGCGTATAGTGTTGAAGTTGGGGCACTGAATGAACGGTAAACTATACTTACCGGTAAATATTTGCTCTTAGACTATGACAGCGGTAGTGAAAATAAGATGACTGGGAATTGTACACCTCGGAACTCGGGATCTCAAACTCCATCGCATTACACACCCGGACAGTTTCATGATACAGGAAGAAGACGAATGTCTCGAGTTGTTACCATTTCGTTTAATCTACTCAATCTCGGACTTAAAATAAGCAGACACATTTATAGTACATGGAGTAGTCAGAATGGTGAGCGAACTTGTATAGGAATAAAGAGATTATTAAATATAGAAGTGAAATTTCTTTAAAACCACTATTACTTAACCGCAAGGCTAAACTCTTGGCAATGAACGAGACGTTGTATATTCGATTACATCACCCGATTTTATGCGCACAAAAGCTCTTGACACCATCAATCTACTTACCAAATATATATATATATATATATACGTATTGATCGAACTGGTTTTACACCTCTTAAAGTTACAATTTATCGATTTCGACGACAGTGATGGACACATCAGTTGTAAGATAAAGAAACTCCAGAGAAAGGAAGTCATAAAACTTTTTTCATAATAAAGATTCATAGCCACAACACAAGTGTTGTGACTTCATTTTTTAATACCTCGCTTGTCCTTCCTTATTTTTGAACACACGCGCCAACCGTTTTGACATGGAGGCTGCGTACTTGGAAATTGCATTGCGCAGTTATGTCGAAGCAAGGAAAGGGCGTACCAATGCAAAGATCTTCAGAGTGCGAAATCCTTGTCACTTGCTATCGAAGGCGAGCTACATAGACTGAACGGTATCTAGACTCACAAATTTATGCACAACAAAACCTGGGAGCAATGGAGTGGTCAATCCTCAGACATGTCTCGAACAATCATATACGTCCAGGTGCAAAATATAACATTTAACAAAGGAATCAGTAACAGGGAAACGGGGCGTCTATCGACAGCACAAACGCTGACCTCAGCGATAGAGAATCTTTCACTATTCATCAAAAGGATGTTCTGAAGGAGTTGACGATTCTGAACTCCAATAAATCACCCGCTTTCGATAGGTCGGTGCCTACCATCCTCAGGGAGTGATTAGCTCATACGCTTTCTTCAGTGCTCGCCGTTCTGTTTAATTAGCGCTAGGAAAGCGGAATTATGTTTGATTGTTTGAATTCTGCTTCCATCGACCCAGTGCCTAACAGAATAACCTCAAAATTCCTTCCCGGTGCAGGTATATCTGACGTGTTGAAGTTGTTCTAGAAGTTAATCCCCCTCTCATCGCGGCTTAATGCGCTGAATCCTAACCAATTTGTGTACCGCCATTCTCGCTCCAAACTAGGACCACTTTATTCTATCAGCACTCGATGAAAATAAGAGTCTCAGATACGTTTCTTCGGTTATAGTGATACCCTAAATTTTTTCAGCAAGGTCTAATTTATTAAATGTGTTCCTTTCTATTGAGATATCACATACCCTAACTGCGGTACTCACAGACTATTTCACAAATCGATCACAGTTCGTACGTTACCTTGGACGTTCCTCCTCTCCCGTAATCTCTAGACTAGCCGTAATGTAGTATACCATTCTTTCCCCATTTTTCTTCTTCATTTATATTTCATCCGTGCCTATTTTCCGAAATTCTCTGCCTATTGAGTATGTAGAAGATGTTTTGGTCGCAATCACCCACCCTGATACATCTGTCTCCTCCATCCTCCAATTGGGGCATTCTAACATGGTTGAGTAGTCCACTGCATACAAACTAACTCAGAATCCTTCTGAATGCTTCAGGTCTGCTGTTCTCATTTCTCAGAGGGAATCGTTGTGCAAATCTCCTAGAATCCCATTCAACTGTAAACATACAAGATAATATAATTTGTCCCACCCGTAAATGCTAGGTGCGGTATTGACCCAACTCATGCAATATCCTGATTTTCATCACATTTTTTTCCTCTCAATGCTTCGTTTTTCCAGCCTCATTCACGGGATTGAAAATGATATTGCCCCACATCAGGCCCAACATATCTGATATAATACCCCCTTATGTCGATGTCTTAATCAGCCCAAAGTTTTACTGGTCTGATCAAATTATTTTTGTCTTAAGATAGGTTAGAAAAATCATCATTTCACGCTCTACACCCGAAAACTTTATCCGTCGCTCAGTTCGTAATCCACCGTTCTTTCTGTTTGCATTTTGTTCCTTCTTCTATACGGGTCCACTGTAATCTTCCCAGAGATTCTCAAGAAGGACTTTAAGTCGCTTTCAGATTCTTAGTATGTTTATCTAGAAGTAGTAAAAATACTCTGTCACTTCATTTTTTCATAACATACAAAGTTAAGTGCTTCGTTATCCACAAAAATGATGAACAACCCTTCATATTCCTTATACGCAGATCTTATAAGGTGTCTTCTTATTCCACCCGATCCCACTATTACTGGAGCGGTCACTCTAGCAAGTAACCACAATGAGGGCCGTTGACTGGTCGAAGAAAACCTTGCTGGATGGACGTAGAAGTGGAGTACTTGGGGATTCCTCGCGACAGTGGGAGAAGTCTTCGCACTTCATTGGACAGCCAACACCCGCCCGATCTGGATAGCCCCAGCCAAGTAGGTTCTGTCCTGTCCAAGTTCCGCTTGTCTCATCGGGTGCATGAGATCAAGGGCCAATCCCAATGTTGAATCATATGGTTGTGTTCAAAATAGCAGCTTTTGTCTATCCACTTATTTTTGATCGAGATTTCGTTGACTTGATTTTTTATAGTTCTATCTAGGCAGAACTACTAAAGTTCGACTTCTTCTATTGTCTACTTGCTCAGTGATCGATCAAATGGACAATCGACATACCGCAACCAAAATCATCTCATGGCTGTGTCAGGTTGCCAACTATACCAGCAACAACTAAAACACCAAACCTCCTCACTGGGTTTGTTCCTTGGGACACATAGCAACCTCTCTCCTGAAGAATGACTGTATGATTTCTTTTTTCTCAAATAATAACATGCACACACGATACCATAAATCTTCAGACGCTCAGGACTCATCAATTTTTCCCTTCAGCAAATATTTCACTTTTCTGAAACGAACCCATGGACTGTTACCTAGAGTCAAGTTCAATAACTGTCATCATCAAGTTCTTGTTTGTTATTCAAAACATTTTTTTTTCAGTCACTTTCATTTCGATTGCACACTCATTGCTTGTGTGTCCAACTTACCGAGGACGGAGTCAGTCAGGATTCGTGCGGCGGTCATCAGTGTGGCCCGAGTTTCCGCATCCAAAACACCCATATCGATCAGATCTCTTCGAGTCAATTGACTCAATCGATGAAGCTCGGTAATATTGTGTTCTCGCAGACATGGCCACACGGACTGTTTTGAGAACGGGCCAAGAGGATGAGGTAGTAAAGATAGATAAATTTCTCAGAACCAAAGCTTTGTTCGTATCATCTGACAGTGTTTGCATTATACTGCTTTTATGTAACAATAAAGTCGAATAGCAGTAACGATTTACACAAGAAAAGACCGCTGGGAAACAGTACCGTGGAAATACCACTTGGGAATTTGAGGCATTACGCAAGGAAGAGAATTGCATGGTATGGCATCAAATTGCCGGATACGTACAGCGGATAGGCGAAGGAAATCATGATCGTGAGGTTCCCGGGAAATATTACCCGGTTTTCCACACACACACACACACACACACACACACACACACACACTGTATAGTTATCACACTTGTTGTGTGTATCCCTGTCTATAAACAAATTTAAATACATTTGCGATCTAAATAATAAATAGTTCAAATTCAAATGACAAAATGCGATGGAAATGTTTGTGATAACCAACAAAGAGCACTGGACAGCTCTCTTCCTGTTTGGGACTCATAAGCAGTGCGTAGTTTCTGTGTCCTCGTCAGGACTTGTACTGCGAAACGCTAATCCAAGCTTGATAATCAAATAGCAAAAGCTTTGTGAGGTAGCGTAGTGAACCGAGAATGTGCTCGCTTGCCAGAGTCCTTTTCCGTTTTTATTCAGGCAAATGAACCTTCATTCGTATGCGCCTGGATTCGCCTTTCACACATGTAGTTTCTCGTCAATTTCTCTTCCTCCCGATTATTTTACCCTCTTCAGGATGATCTATCTGTTAATCCGACTATACCAGCAGGTCCATACTCGTCATGTGTTATTCGAGCAAGTGACAAGTGGGGTCAATTTTTGCTCCCCCAGTCATCCATCCATCCATGATCATCTGTGTAAACAAACACACCTCACCTGTATACCCAAACGCTGCAACAATCGAATTAGTTGAATTGTCATCCCGGGATTTCGTTCGTCTCTTCCGTCAGCCGTCAGTCCGGTCGAATCGAATCCGGCCGGAGTATCATCGTATGTGTATTCGCCCGCATGCGTTTCGAATGCGTTTCGACCACCGGGCCTAGTCCATGTCGAGGTGAAAGGGTCAACCAGAGGGATGGTTTCATAGGTGTCAGTTGTAGGGCTGCTTGGTGCGGACTGACTCACGTCCGAATGATAGGGTGAGGTCAGATCGCGTCGGTTGTTTTGGATACTGCCCTGTCCGATAGACTGAGTGTTGTTGATGAAGTGGAGACGCAAATTAGGGGGCCGA